AACTCCATCCAACATGTCTGATACTCCATCCAACAGCGCCCAACACCATCAAACAAATCGGTCGAACGCCTTCGAACTCCATCCAACATGTCTGATACTCCATCCAACAGCGCCCAACACCATCAAACAAATCGGTCGAACGCCTTCGAACTCCATCCAACATGTCTGATACTCCATCCAACAGCGCCCAACACCATCAAACAAATCGGTCAAACGCCTTCGAACTCCATCCAACATGTCTGATACTCCATCCAACAAAGCCCAACCCCATCAGACAAATCGGTCGAATGCCTTCAAACTCCATCCAACATGTCTGATACTCCATCCAACAACGCCCAACACCATCCAACAAATCGGTCAAACTCCATCCAAACTCTATGCCTCGACTTGCTTTACCCACCTTCGTAGCCTCCACTTGGAAATCATAAACGTAATATGAAGACCCATTTGGTTCTTCGATATTCTGAAAAACGATAAAAAAAACACTGACAAGTCAAACTTCAATACAACAAAAAGAATAGCAAAACTAACACAACTTTACCTTGTCTGGATGAAGAATTATAAAACAAAAATTCTCTTTGGTATAGGGAGAAACTCAGACTCAAATGAGAAAAGATTGAATTCTATTTCCAGTATTATTTTCTCATGACACAAACAAGAGTCTTTTATTGCATTTTAAGTGTTGTTGTCGATGCAATCTTCAAACGTTATTCGTTTTTTCGTTTTTTCTTCCAATAACCCATCCATTCATTTGTCTATCTCTTCTCCCATTTATTTACTCATACGTTTGTCAATCTATTCATTTACTTATTTCACTCGTTTATTCAATAATCCATTTATTCAATCATTCGTTGATCTACTCATCCTTCATTTATTTATCCATTCACTTATTCATACATTTAATTGATCATTCAATCATTTATTTATTTCATTCGTTCGTTCATCCATTTAATCTTTCCTTCAGTCGTTCCAATCCATGCACTTATYCGTCCACTCATTTTCTTGCCTCTCATCTATAAGTGGTCATACTACGAATATTCCGCGAGGTATTATTATAGATCATACTTACATTTCTTGTAAATTGCATTCGTATCTCGCATTTGATTAACTGTGGCAAATCTATCGCTAAAACAAAGCAGATATTAAATTAAGTTATTATATATCAAGTGTCAAAATTCACTTTTCCTAGTATCTTATTGGTCGAGAGTGTACCATGTGAAAGTCACAAAATTTTACTGTTTCCYGGCAACTGTCCAYCAGCGGTCAATAATATGTTGTGGACCGTCAATAAGTACAAAGTCGCAGAAAAACACTATTCAGTGTCGTGAAAATGTCACATTTACGGACGTTGCAACCCAAAATTGTTATCAAACATTTAATTTCGACTACAAATGGTTATTGTATTCATTGTGTTATTACATTGATCGATTTTAGTGACATTTGACTATTTGTATTGTCATTTTTCAGTCATTTTATCAAAATCTTTAATAAAAACACTTCATTTATTTACTTTTTTTGCTCTCTTTGACACTTGATATGATAATAAAGCACTTATTTACTGGAAACCTCGGGAAACAGTATGTTTTGGTGTTTCCCTCGGTTCAAGTCAATAAGTGTTAAATCCTTTTTTTAATTAAATGCAATCAGAGAGCGCAAATAGCAATGAAGGGTACAAACAGATTGCAAAGAAATGAAAGAATATGCGTCGCTTGCCTCTTTTTTTCAATCATTCCCATGAGATTCAAAAGATATAAGACCGCAGCCATGTTGAATGAATAATAGACACTAATGAGAAATCTTTTGTTAACATCCAACCAAGATGGCCGCTTTGACGTTTATTGAAGGAATGACTAACTATTAGAATCACTACCTTGAATGTTTTCTAGTTTCCATAATAGTGACGTCTCTTGYGTGTCGTTGACGTCCTGTAGAAAATAAACTCAATGTCAATCGAAGTGAGGTGATTGACATGACCGATTTTAAAAACAGCCCGTCTTCAAAAGATTAACCACCTACAATGGCATTTCCAATTGTCACGTGTCTTGATATATATTCAGTTTTAAATGACMATATAGAATGTCGTTTCTCCACTAAAACACACCAACATTTAAGACCATTTTCATAAAAGAAAGTCACGTGACAATAGTCTCCTTCACGGTTCCCTGCGCCATCTTGAAAGGTGCCTTTACATCGAAGCGAGACACCCGTTGAGCGTGCAATGATAGATACCTGTGAATAATTGTCTGTAGCTGTGAAAGAAGGTTTCTGTCATTGCACACTCAACCGTCGTCTCTCTTCGATACACAGGCACAGAAACCATCCAAGATGGCGCTGGGAACCAGGAAGAAGACTATTGGAAGATTGGAGATGTCCTAGGGGTTGGCAACCTTTTCAAGATCGGTTGTATATTTAACAAATTGCGCATGGTTTTGAGTTGTATGTCCTTTTATTGACACACTCTTGACGTCATATAATGTTCAAAAGTGGACCCACGAGCGCAGAGAGTGGCTTCACTGCAAAGGTTTGAACATTTTATGACGTCAAGAGGGAGTCAATAAGAGAACATACAACTCAAAAACGTTGTCAATTTGTTTTTTTACCACATTTTTAGTCTAAAAATTAGCGAAAATCATTTTTTTTTCTTTAAGTTGAGCGCTCGCGCAAAACGTGATGGTGTCAGCAAAGTGTGCATGCCCAATTGACACTCTCTAATCAACCAATCAGCGCGCGAGAAAATAAACAATTGTGGTAAAAAAAGAATGCCACTTTACTCACGAACGAGGTCACGGGATTGACAGGGACTGCCTTCACCGCTGGACAATCAATCAATGTCAGTGCTGGCTCATTTACATGGAGAGAGCTTTTKCCAGMAATTATGACTTGCACAAAGCGTCTAGAAGTRAACGAAATGACGCCGTTAGTATTACTTAGGGACCTCTCTTACACKGGCACCTCTACAGTACGGACACTTACTGGTCATTACTGCAGTGCAGGACGTGTCTGGCTGTAAGTGGTCGCTTAAATGAGCAAACAACCTCAGAAACAGTCGCCGGCTGCAGCCATTTACAGCAGAACGTCATATTATGCTCCACTTCCTCCATCTGCTCACTCTGCTTATTCAGCCCTGCTTCTACAATCAGATCAAACTCTAGTTTCTCATAAGGTCCGCACTTTGGTAGCGTCACTATGGCAACTGATGACGTAGGATCCTCGCCCTCGTGGAATGATGGGAATGTGACCTTATATGGTCTTTGATTTTTTTCAGGATTTAGTTCGAGGTTAGAGGAGCCGTATGCGTTTCCAGAGACTAAGTGGAATTTTAGTTGTGTTTTCGAGGTTATTTCGAGTTTAGAACCTTCTTCGATTGTGCCTGGGCCTACTGAGATGGCGGCACCAATACGTTGAGACACACCGACAAGTAAATCTGAAAGAAAGTAACAAGTGAAAAAATTGAAGAATTTAAATTCATTCTTAAATGATTTTTCAACCAATTTAACTCACAAAAACCTTAATGTATTCTATTATTTTCCCGTTTCCTCGTCATTGAGGCAAAATACTCGGCTATTAAGTTGCCTATTTACAATAGAAACTAGACGCTCTTAGAGCGTGAAGTCGGGCTACCCATTTTGGAAAATTGAGAAATGACAGGATATTACAAGTGCGCGCGCGGTGATTTTCAACAAGAGAAGATAAAATTCGTATCTCCAAGCGAATATGTAATATTCTGTTTATCATATCATCATATATGAAAGCAAATCGTAAAATGTCTGTTTTTACTTAAAAAACTCGAATGTATTATTTTTAACTAGTGAAGATGCAACAGAGAAATATAGGTATTTCATAGATAGTTTTATGATAAAGATAGGATATTACATGGGTGCACGGATACGCGAGCGAGTGAAAGATTTTTAACGCGAGAAGAAAAAACTCGTATCTCCAAGCCAACATGTAATATTCTGTCTATCATACGATTATATATGAAGTAAATTATGGTGTAGAATACCTTTTCTACTTGTAATATATAGTGAAAGCAAGAATGTGTTACTTTCACTACTTTGTTTATTAATTAATGAATTAATGTCCTTTGAAAATTCTAATTGTATATTTTCACGGACCAGGAATTTTTTTTTTTTTTTTTTTTTTTTTTTTTTTTTTTTTTTTTTTTTACGGTTTGGGGCAACGACGTCGAAACACTACAAATATCGAGCCAGGAGTAATATACTGTTTTTCACAATTTTAAAAAAGTAGCTAGCCCGACTTCACGCTCTAAGACTGTCTAGTTTATTTAAAATATGCAAAGTTCGGTGAGATTTGAATAAATATGTCCTAAAAGGTCATGCAATCAACAGAACCAGATAGAGAAACGCCATACACTGGAAATGGAGAGTAAATTCGTGTCTGGCTAATTCTACAATTTTTAATGCAATGTTTAAAGAAAAGAACCTACTTAAAGTATACTTATCGAAGATGCAATGTTTAAAGAAAAGAACCTACTTAAAGTATACTTATCGAAGATTTTTTTACATGAACTTACTAGTCAGAGAAATCTCCAAAAAAGTAACGATGTCCGTTCATCTATAAAATTTGGGCTTCCTGTTGCACAAACGCTGGATTTGGAATGATGAGTAGAACCTACTTAAAGTATACTTATCGAAGTTTTTTGTACATGAACTAACTTATAAGTCAGATAAATCTAAAAAAAGTAACGATGTCCGTACATCTATTGGGCTTCCTGTTGCACAAACGTGACGCTATAGATATAA